ATAAAAGAAGCGAGAGAATTAGATTATATACGAATTAAGTAAAACTGTTAAGTCTTAAGTATTCAGCTAATCCACGTGTAGTGGCGGGTAAGAATACTCACTACCCCATATCTTCCCGTGAGTGTCGTAAGAGGCGACAAAGGGAAACTGAGGCAGAGGATGGGCAGCAGCATCTTTCTGATAACAGCAAAACAATAATAAAAAAACTGCGGTTGCCAACCCGCTCGCCAAGCGTGGCAACTATGGCAATATACCCCCCATGAGCAATGACATTAATAAACGGCCCCCAGTCCCCGGCGGCCCCGCTATGCCTGGCTACGGAGGCGACCATGGTAACGGCGGGGCAGGATGCTAAGAATCTCCGGTGGAGGTTCGGTTGCAGTGTAGCCGTTTAGTAAATGAAAAAAATGCTAGACTTTTGCGGTGATAATGCTAAAAAAGTGCTAAATCACACTTGAATATGCTAAAAAAAATGCCAGCTGCTAAGTCTTGTTTAAATTAATAAGAAATGATAATAAATTGCAAGTAGGTAGTGTAACTAAAAATGCAGTGCTATTTTTAAGTAAATTGAATCATCAAGATAAATCAAATAATATTTGTAGATCATCAATATCAGCTTTGTCGTGTGCTTGTGCTTGTGATGTTGAAGGACCATATTCAAAAGCAATAATCATAGGCATCACAAGCGACTCTTTAATCCCTCTAATCTGTTTTAAAACATGTTCGGGAACTCATAGGAATGACAACATATAATTGATCTTTTAAGGTCATATCTGATGTATAGGATCGAGTTCAGTGTATGTAGTGACATACGATTTCTTAATTTTGTTTTTATGAAAAATGCTAAAATATGCAATACGCTAAAGCCAATTTTTTCATGCCAACAGGTTTAAAACTATGCCAAATTTAGCATTAAAAATGCCACATCGGCAACACTGTTCAGTTGTCACCTACGACAACTCGACCTGGCAACTTATAACGCACGCACCCTGAGGACTGATGAGAAGATCCTGGAGCTGAAAGAACAGATAGACAAGTTGCGCTGGAATATCATAGGATTATCCGAGGTCCAAAGAGAGGGGGAGGACACGGTAATACTCGAATCCGGCAACTTGTTCTATCACCGGGAGGGCGACCATCTGTCCCAAGGAGGTGTCGGATTTATCGTCCACAAGTCTCTCGTTAACAACGTTGTAAAGATTGGGAGTGTGTCGACGAGGATTGCGTACCTTACACTTAGAATCACCAAACGGTATTCGCTGAAGGTCATACAGGTTTACGCACCAACCTCGGTATACCCCGATGAGGAGGTGGAGGAAATGTATGAGGATATCTTCAGAGCCATGCATTTCTCCAAAACCCACTATACGGTGTTAATGGGAGACTTCAACGCAAAACATGGTACAAGAGAGAACGGTGAGCTAAAAGTAGGGAAATTCAGAATAGGGCCACGGAACCGAAGGGGCCAGCAGCTGGCCGACTTCATGGAGAAAAAGGGACTCTTTATGATGAATTCTTTCTTCCAGAAGCGGCCCCACAGGAAGTGGACCTGGTTGAGCCCCGACCGTTCGACAAAAAATGAGATTGACTTCATTATGACAACCAGACGACAACTGTTCAGTGATGTCTCAGTGATCGCGAGGATGAAAACCGGCAGCGATCACCGAATGGTAAGAGGCACACTGAACCTAAACGTTAAGTTGGAGAGGTCACGTCTAATGAAGTCAACGCTCCGTCCCACTCGTGCTCTAATCCAAAGTCCCGAAACCTTTCAGATCGAGCTACAAAACCGTTTTCAGTGCCTAGAAGATTACAATGCAGTGGAAGATATGAATGACAAGCTCGTGGAAACTGTCCATGCGATCGGAGCTAAGTTTTGCAAGACTCTTCAGTAGATTTGACAGCATACAGGCAACTGAACAGACAAATCTCCAAATGCATGCGGCGGGACTTACGCAACTTTAGTACTGCTCATATTGAAGAAGCGATTGAGCGGAACCAGGGTTCCAAAGTCTTTCCCAGACATCTGTCTGCCAGAAAGAGCCAACTGTATAAGTTGAAGACCGAGTGTGGCAGCGTCGTTTCCGGGACACCTGGGATTTTGAGTGAGATTGAGAGACGATCCAAGAGCGAGTCTTATCCGACACTATTCCGATGAATATCCCGGACGTCTGTCTGAGCGAGATTAGAATGGCTCTCCAGTACCTTAAAAACGGCAAGGCCCCAGGCGATGATGGAATTACAGCGGAGCTTCTGAAAGCGGGTGGAAAACCGGTACTTGAAGTCCTTCAGAAGCTCTTTAATTCCGTCCTCCATGGTGGAATTACACCGGAGGCGTGGAACAGAAGTGTGGTGGTCTTGTTCTTCAAGAAAGATGACAACGCTCTCTTGAAGAACTACAGACCGATTTCCCTTCTGAGCCGCGCCTACGTGCTGTTTTCGAGAGTCATTACGAATCGTCTCGCGCGCAGACTTGACGACTTCCAGCCTCCCGAACAAGCCGGTTTCCGAAAAGGCTTTAGCACCATAGACCACATACATACCCTTCGGCAAATTGTACAGAAGTACGAGGAGTACAATTTGCCACTATGTAGAATATGAGAAAGCCTTTGATTCCGTCGAAATTTGGGCGGTGCTGCAGTCCCTTCAGCGATGCCAAGTTGAGTGTCGGTATATCGAAGTGCTGAAGTGCTTGTACAGTAGGGCTACGATGGCTATCCGAGTACAGAACCAGAGTACGAAACCTATCCAATTGCAGAAATGTGTAAGACAGGGTGACGTTATATCCCCGAAACTCTTCACCGCTACATTGGAAGACGTTTTCAAGATTCTGGACTGGAAAGGATACGGTATTAACATCAATGGCGAGTACATCACTCACCTTCGATTTGCCGACGATATAGTCCTTACGGCAGAATCGCTGGAAGACCTAAGCACTATGCTCAATGACCTCAATAGTGTTTCCCAACGGATAGGTCTTAAGATGAATATGGGCAAAACTAAGATCATGTTTAATGTCCATGTCACACCTATGCCGGTAGTTGTTGAGAGCAATAAGCTCGAAGTTGTTGACGAGTATGTTTACCTGGGACAAATAGTCCGACTAGGTAAGTCCAACTTCGACCGAGAGGTCAATCGACGGATTCAACTCGGTTGAGCAGCGTTCGGGAAATTACGGCACATCTTCTCGTCAGGTATATCTCAAAACTTGAAAACGAGACTGTACAACCAGTGCGTGTTGCCAGTGATGACCTATGGAACTGAGACGTCGTCCTTCACTGCTGGCCGGATGAGGAAGCTCAAGGTCGCTCAGTGAGCTATGACGAGGGCTATGCTCGGAGTTTCTCTGCGTGATAAACTTAGAAATGAGGATATCCGTAGTAGAACCAGAGTGACTGACATAGCCCAACGGACTAGTAAGCTGAAGTGACAATGGGCCGGCCATATAGCTCGAAGAACCGACAACCGATGGAGAAAAAAGGTTCTCGAGTGGGGGCCTCGTACCGGCGGACGAAGTGTAGGGCGGCCCCCACTAGATGGAGTGACGAACTGGTAAGATATGCAGAAAGTCGATGGATGCAGGTGGCTCAAGATCGTGCTTTGTGGCATTCCTTGGGGGAGGCCTATGTTCAGCAGTGGACTTGTGAAGGGCTGTAATGATGATGATGATGATGATTCAGCTAATCCAGGGGTTCACAAATTGTGCGCCACGGCGCCCTGGTGCACCACAGAGAAACCAGTAGAGACGCTCCTGTTTACCATTCTCCGGTAACTAAACGTAGCAAATAGCGCTCAAAAATCAATGTGGCGTAAGAAATGGGAGTAGCGGTTTCAAGCCTCTTCAACGCTTTGAAAAAATGTGTGGAGCCGCTAAGCCCACACGTCGCGTTGACTTAGTTGCCCTTGTATTTTATTTCCTATTTTTCTTAAATAATAAATGTATTCTTATGTGTCAATATTTTTTACACGTGGTAGAGACATGCTGCAGCTATATTGTATAGTTGTAGCACGAATGGGTCGGCTCGACCGGGGACGAACCACGCTCTCACAGAATACCAGCGTAAAATAGCGGCTTAATGCTGCTGTGTTTCGTATGGTGAGTGTAGAGAACCGGAGACCCTTTTTACTGGAAAAGAGGCATTCCATTTTAGTCCTCACGGCTGACAACGCATCTGCATTTTGATTCGCATACGAGGATAGATGTAGATGTCTTTGGGCCACAGCAACCACTTACCATCAGGTGGACTCTGTGCTCGCTTGTCGCCCTTATCCTATAAAAAATATATATATATATATAATTATAAAAACTTAGTTTCATAGTGTGGATGTTTTAATTTTTGTGCCTTCTAGTATCTTGTATACTTGACTGCCTCGTTGGTTTAGTTGTAGTGTGGTTGTAGTAGTGCGACTGCTGATCATGAGGTCCCGGGTTCGAATCCCGAGTCGGGCCAAAAAAAACATTTATTGAGTTTTTCCATCAAGAAATTCTCAGTAGCTGCCCGGAGTCCGGAAGTTGGCGGTGTCTCAACCCCGTGCCTCGGAAAGCACTTAAAGCCGTTAGTCCTGCGCCTGATCTCTTTCCGGTCGTGTCGGTTTACCGTCCCATCGGACTATGAGAGTGAGCGAATTGAGAGTGCACCTGTGCTTGCGCATACACTTGGGCACTATAATCCTGTCCTGTGCCGATGGCTAGTCTCCGTTGAGAATTGCCGCCGTGACCGACATTCGGTCTGGAGGACATTATTATTATCCTTTGTCTACTTGCTACGGCGCCGAGACAAAATTCTAAATCTGTAGGTGCGCCGCGAACTGAAAATGTTTGGGAACCCCTGGTCTAATCAATATCATTATAGTCATCATTGTAACCGCCCCACATATTACTACAAGGGACAGCCCACTTCCAGATCGTTTCACACAGCGGAAGATTCCCATCTCGTATATTAATTAATATGTTATAAATGTAACGTAAGTGTGATAACATTGAAAATGCTTATAGTTACCTGATCACTATATAAGACTTGTACTCCTCTTATTGTGCCGACTTGACTCTGTATGATGGCAACCGACTGTGAAAAATGCATTCCTGCAATACAAAAAAAAAAAGGTTGGTTAACAATCTTTAACAATTTTTAAATATTTTTGGAAGATTAAATTACATTCAATTATTTTTGTAAATTTTTATTTATCATTAAATTAAAAAAGAACGTGCGTGAGTGTCGTGCAACACTCGGTTGGAACGAAGTTCCTTTCGTAGTATATTATTATTGATAAACGTATTATATTATTCATTAACAAATACAAATAAATGAATTACTAGCGTCTATTAAAATGAATCGTCATTTAAATAAAATATTTTTTTTCATGGCAAGATAAGAAAAGTGCGAGGGAGATGGATATTATTCCATCTCGCTTTCTTATATCCGCCAAGGCTGTCTACACTACGTCAAAAAGGATCATGACGGAAAAATCTTGCACTTTTTCTCACCTAGCTCCCATCCGCCAATTTCGTACCGTCCGATAAGGAACTTCATTCCAAAAAAATGTAGTAGTAAAAGAAAGGCGAATCACACTCCCACACAGTTATTGTAAATTGAGAATGAGTGGGGAATTATGTAAGTTTATTTTAAAACTCTCTTTTAAGCCTTTCAAAATTAAACTTACTAAGCATTTATCGCCTAGTTCCTGTTAAGAACTATATTTTGAATAGAATCTATTTTATACTTGAATTAAAATTGTGCATACTTCTAAAGATAATAAAATATCTACCATTTTCTTTCCCAATAATTGAACCTGATTTTTTTTCAATTGATTTTTTTACCTATTTAGTCACATAATTTACTTAAATTATTTTTCATTTTATTGCATTGATTGTATGTTTATCCTACTCCAAATTAATCCTAAATTAAGTTGCACGAATCAATCTGTAAATGTTATGTACACTTGTAATTATTATGTATATCAGAAAATATAAAAGTGTGTATGTTTTTGTGACAATGTCTTATATGTACATTGTAAGAGTAGTTGTTAAATAAATAAATAAAACAAATATCTTTTTTTCTATCTAGGAGTCCGTCTGAACGAATTAATGAAATAAGTTAAATATGCATAATTTATTGTACACCAATAAACAAGGAAATAAAGGAAATCTATACATATAATAAAAATGTAAATAGTCGATGTCTGTACATTTTAGATTTATATAATAAAAGTGATTGAGTGGTACTAAAAATAAGTAATTAAATACATTTCTACCATTTTTAGAATTTTCTGTCTGTCTGTCTGTCTGTCTGTCTGTCTGTTTGTTTGTTAACGTATCACGTATAAAGTACCAATTTATATCAGAAGAATCGTTAAAGAATTTATAAAGTGTATCTTCAGGTTACATTTAGTCTTTATTTCATTAAAATTTGTTCATTCCATCAAAAGTTATGATAAATATTCTGAAGTATGGCTACAAAGTATAGGTACGAATTTGTTCAATGGTGGCGTTTGTTGAGTCATCAAGTACATTTTAAACTAATATCATATTATAAATCATAACATAATTAAATGATGTAAAATAATGTTCTATAATGATGAAATTATATCTAAAACGCAGTAAACAAAAGTATTACATAAAGAACGTAATAAATATATTAACCTTATTATGTAAATCTAAAGTACAATAGTTAACCCATTTCATCGATAGATGGTGGTGTTGCACAAATGTCATGCAAGAAGGCAGGTTGTGTTTTTTTTTCTGTAAATGACTTTTTTTTATATTTGCTGTTAATCTTTAAATTACTCGCTGCCCTACTGTGTATTGACAATGTCATTTATTCTTTACCGCCGAGTACTCTACATGGTAAATCAAATTTTAAAACAGCTATTAACAATTTCGTTGGTTTCGGCGAGGATCAAACTTTCTTTCTTGCTTACCATGTAGGCCTGATTTATAAGTTCTTTTAAGTTTTTTTATTGTATCAATCGCGTTAATTAATCTCTTTTATTTTTAGAATTGATTTTAACAGCGCCATCTATCCTTATATCTCTATACATGCGGTAATCACATGCTGTGTCTGATTCTGTACATTGTATAGTATATTAATTTGTGACTAAAATCATTATGGAGACTGAAACTCATTAAATAAGTACATTTTTATAATTTTTAGAATTGTCTGTCTGTCTGTTTGTTTATGAACGCATCACGTCTTAAGTAAACATCTTTTTTTCAAAGAAATTGTTTAGAAAATCATAAAGCGTATCATCCAGTTCAAAGATTAACTTTGTTTTATTAAAATTGGTTAATACTATCGAAAGTTTTGATTATTATTTTGAAATGTAGGTTCGATTTTTTTAAAGACTTTATGGCGCCTAAACCTCAGAAATAGTAATAAAATGATTCCTTTTTATAAAAAAAACGTTTTATTATAATATATTTATACTTTAAACACAGTAGACAAAAAATATGTTTTCCTTAAATTAAAAATGGATGTCTTCCACGAAGAACGTAATAGATGGCGTTGTACGTTAACGAGTCCATTGAAGCTGAAAGAGCCGTGTAGGGTGTAAGCTAACAGCACAAACATCATCAAAACAGATATCAGAAAAAAGATACGTACGCCCAAGCTAAACGTAGCAAAATTGCATCAAAAACAATATGTCATGATGTTGTTTTATACCAAGAATCCACCTTATATCAAATAACTTTCCTTTTAGTTCTAAGCGTGTTCTGTTCCCACTTCCCATTCCCAGTCAGCGTGTGTTATGTGATGACCGATAACCGTAAATAAAGCGCAAGGTCAAACATTACGCGTTGCAGGAGTGGACCTCAGTACTGACTGTTTTGCACATGGCCAACTCTATGTTGCTTTTTCCCGCGTTAGTAGCTCCCGTAACATTTTTCTGTACGCCCCGGCTGTCTACTTCTAACGTCGTTTACACAGAAGTTCTATCACAAACGACTCAGAACTTTGAGCATAACGATTTATTTTGGTGCCACTTATTCATACAGTAATGATATAAATCTTTTAATATTCTCTTACCTAAACGTCAAATTCTTTAAGTAAAACCTATATACGCGAGCTACGCCGCGGGCACAGCTAGTAAAAACATAAAAAGCTACAATTGGCGGCCTTGTCGCTTACAAGTAATCTCTCGCAAGCGCAGAGGTTAAAATGACCTGTGAGAAAGGGTAAGGATGTTCGCAAGTTATTGGAAAATATACCAGACGGCTGAACCTACACATATAATATGGTATGTATTACGTGTACTATATATATATATATATATATATATATATATATATATATATATATATATATATATTAGGTATATGTATGTATTATGTGTACTAGTAGCGGTCCGCCCCGGCTTCGCACGGGTGGTTTCTGGATCTCGAAAACAGCGTCATCTACCGGGTCCAATTAAAATGTGTCGAAACTATTCAGAGATCCACTCAAACATACAGAACCAAATTTCATTAAAATAGGTCGAGCCGTTTTCGAGTTTTTGCGAGGCCAACGGACTGCAATTGATTTTTATACATAGAGATAATATGCAGATACATGCGCATTTAAAGGACATAAATATGGAAATACGTATACAAAAACAATGCGTAAAGTAAAAGCTGTAACGCAATGATAATTAATGGGAAGTAATGTTTAACCGGCGTCAAAACAGATGGTTTATAATTCGATGGTATGTTCTTTTTAGGTGTGTTAATGTTACGCGAAATTTTCGTTAATTGTAAACCGATTTAGATGATTTTTTTAATTAAATATGTTAATCTTCAAGGTGGTGTTAAAGTTTCAGCTTATATACGTCCCACTGTTGGGCACAGGCCTCCTCTCATTTCTGAGATGGTTTTAGGGCAAGGAAATGTTCGTCGCGCTGCCCCAATGTGTGTTGGCGAACTTCGCAAATTCTCGGTTTTTTTTTTCTTATTTCTCAGACATGCAAAGGTCACGTATGCATAGATAATACTAATTAATTCTTAGATTAATTTGTACTTGTACAATACATGGTGTAATGGACACATGCAACTAACACAATAGACACGTGCAACTAACAAACACAATGGACACTTGAAAATAACAAAAAAAGCACAGGCACATTGCCACAACTGAGGATTAAGATAGAGAAGAATAAATACAAAACAATAATTTTTCCGACGGACACTTCTTTATCCTTTAACCCTCTTAGAAATAAGGGGAGGCCTGTGCCCAGCAGTGGGACATATATAGGCTGTAACTTTAAGTTTTTTAATTTTATGCATTCGTGATATGGGCCATCGAGCTTTAATAGGAGTATCTTTGCGTGATAGAATTCATAATGAGGATATCAGCATTGAAACCGGAATAACCAACATAGCTAATCGGGTAAGAAAGCTGAAGTGACTATGGGCCGGCCATATAGCTCGAAGAACTAGCAACTAATGGGGATGAAAGGTTCTAAGTGGCCGTCACGTACTGCTAAGCGAAATGTAAGGCGGCACCTCACTTGATGAAGTGACGACCTGGTAAGGCGTGCAGGATATCGATGGATTCGGGTGACACAGGACTGCATTTTTTCATTTAGTGGCATTACTTGAGTGAGGCCTGTAGACATTGGCCCAGCAGTGGACTTGTAATGTATTGTTATAATGACAACGATGATGATGAATTATGCACTTTACTTGAATAGCTCCAATTAAAATACAGTTAACATAGATAAGACTGATAGACGAGTCTATTAAGAATCAATTAACATCAACAACTAACGTTAAATAAATCAAAAATCACAGATGTACACGTCTAGTTAACGTAACTATAATTAGTTGTTAATTATTACAACAACTCACTGTTCATAGATAAAACTATCGCAGAAAACATGCGTCCTTTGTCCTACGAGTACAATCGGTACCACTCGGCTATTGTTTATCTCTAAACATTTTTATGTCCTGTGGAAGATTTATGTAAACAAGTACGACCAGGCAGTCTTCGGAAATATTTTTGAAGTTATACTTCATTTGGGGCGTTTGGGAAAAATGATGAGTGAATTTTTACGATGCGCACGCACACCGGCGCGCGCATACCGACACTTAAAAACGACACCATGAAGTTG